AAGATCAAATCTGACTCTGTTAGCGTCTTCAGATCATTGTTAGCTAACTATGGAGTGGTGTAAGATGGATGAATTGATTTCTTTGTCTCAAACCTGAGACATAACTTGGGTTAGACGACTTTCTGCAGCCGGTAAAGCTGCTGATCATGAGACAACGATGCTAACGATAAAGATACAGGCTAACGTTGCATTTCCATCCTCTTCCTCTTAAGGCCCTGACACACCAAGCAGACGGCAAAGAACTGGTGGCAACAAATGCCGCCTGTGGAGTTGCCTCACGTCGCCTTTAGTCTTGGCCAAAAAGTTGCACCACAACACACCGCAAAGACTACAGCCAACAGCCAACCACCACAAACGTTCTGCACATGCGTGACAGGAAATACCTCTCCATGCCAGCAGGGGCAGTAGTCCATTGTTATGATACGAGAAGACCATTTTCACACCGCTATCGCTCACCACTCGTATTATAGGTCGTCTACTAATGGAGAATAACGTCTGATTAAAAGTTGAAAATGGTGCTGGCGTTGTCCTCCCTTTGTCTTTTATCAGTGGAACAAGAACAGAAGAGGTGTAATCGTTTAATTGCTTTCGTCCCTTCCGTTTTTCTTTGAGTGCACTGATCCACTTAGCTTAACAGCCAATCAGAGAGATTCCTCTCACCAACTGCGCCAGCGACGGCCATCGCTGAAAAAAGGCCGACGGGTAGCAACTGAGCTGGACAAACTGCAAAAACTATGGCAACGATCGCTCACCAAAGGCTCAACAAGGACCAACAGTCGACGATCTCCTTGGTGTGTCAGGGCCTCCAGCCTCAGCCATCATCTCAAACAGTACAGAGACGAGCTAACTGGCTGCTTTGTAGCTGAAGGCTTCTGTGTGAACTAGCGCCGTTAAGACGTACGCACTTCTCACCACATGACCTCAGCCCGCTGACAAAGTTACATAGTGCTGAAAACAGGCGAGCGGGGCGCTCTGTGGACATGAGAGAAACGCTGTTCTCCCTGTTGACAGTTATGTTGCTATTAAATGGACCTTTGAAATAACATTTGAGTACATCAAAATTGCGAGTATGTCGGAGTGTTAAAGTAGATTTTCCTGTGAAGTTACATCCACTCAGTTTGTGCAGATGACTCGTCTTTCTTTTTCTCCCCCTCAGATTTGAGCTCCGAGCTGAAGGTTTTATCTCGTCAGGAACTTTTTGGAAGAAAGACTTCACTGGAGTCAAAGTTTCCCCACACTTCGATGATGTTCTCTCTCACACTTCATGACACACTTGACTGGTATTCCCTTTGTGCCCGTCTCCTCCTCAAAGCCGGAGAAGCCGAGAGTGCTGTCAGACGGATTCGAGAAGTTGATTGTGTTTATCTTGCAAACAGAGAGTCAACGACTTTGATTGGATTTGATGTTGTTTGTGCCTTTATAGTCAAATGTGGCTCCCACACAACAGCGCAGGTTTTGTTTTAGGGATGTGTTTTTTTTATAAATTAGGTATTTCTCATCTGCATTACTGTGAGCCAGCCGCCCACCTCTCCTCTCACTGCGTCAGGTAAAATCTCAGTTCACTCTCAAACCCAATTATCTTTTCCATCTTCTTTTAATGTTATTATCTCTTCCTGCAGACTGTTTCCTGCCATGCTCTTCTTTTCTGCTTATTATCAGGTGAGTATATGGCGAGGGAAGTGTCATGTCGGCCAGAGGGTAACGAGGTTGTTGCAACATCACTTTCTGGTGTTCCTATTTTCTTAGCAATATCTCATTCTCTAGTTTGCTGCATCTTTTTTCTTCTTCCCCTGAGCTTTTCATTTGTCCTCCTAGTTAAACAGCAGACCTTCTAGTTTTCTTAAATGATGAATTCAATGAGTTTTCAGGATTTTCAGTTTTCAAGTTACATAGAAGTCGATGGTAGGACGCAGTTCCTGCAACAGGTGACACATCACCTTTCAACTGGTAGATTGAGGGTTCAATCCCCAGCTGGGCAACATGTCGGATGTGTCCTTGGGCAAGACACTTAACTCTGCATTGCTCCCGCTACTTCGGTGGCGGTGTATGAATGGATTTGTGTTGTACTTACTCTCTGATGTATGTCGCTTTGGATAAAAGTGTCTGATAAGTGAACTGTAACTTGTAAATAAAGCAACACAGCCTTGTACAGCCATTAATGTCAGGGTTGTTAATTTCCTCCAGATCCTTTTTTCAGATTTTGATTGAAATTGTCTTTAGGTCCTGATAGAAATTAATAACTCATGTTGTCTGAAAAAAGGAACAAAGAAATCCGTCATCTGTAGCAGTTGTAAAAGTAGTAGTAGTAAAACATTGTGCAGTCTTGGTTTGACGTTCTATTTACAGAGACACCTGCGGTTGGTTTCCACAGAGAGATGACCTCTGAGATGTAATGAACAAAGAATGATCTTATTTAGGGAGCAGGATTTAAATGTGTGAGTGGGACAAAGAAACAGTGGGAGATTAAGTGTGTGTCTGTACATAATTGCATTCCTCCGTCGTCCGATGCTCACCTGCTTTCTGTGGCTCTGAGGGCTGTTTACTCGTCAGAGGTTGTGCCTGGCGTCCTTTGTTTGTAGCACCCACTGTTTTTAACCTCCACCCCGCCTTTGAGTTAGTGTGTTCCTGTCAGGCTGCAAACCCAGCCTGGCAGGGCCCTAAAACAGCCAGCCCTGCCATTAAACATTCATGAAGTGCAGTGCAGTGGCACCGCTGCAGAAAGGTCACTCAAGAATGATCGGTTTAGTCGGGTATAGCTCCCTCGCATCAGCACGCCCGCCTATAATAAATAAATACATTCCCCACAGACGTGCACCTGGTAGCCCAATCCTTCCATAATAGAAAAAGAAAATCCCAGTGTTGCATGTTCCTGCTCCCAAATACACTTAAGATAAATAAAGTGACACAGTGGAATATAAGACTCAAGTCCAACAGCTGTGTCTCTGAGTAAAGCTGTAACTGACTGAACCCTTAAAGGGGCAGTTCATCCAAAACACAACAAATATATAAATATATATCTTCTTTTAACGCAGAGAGAAGAATGTCTAATCTATCATCTGAATATGTTTCTGTAAAATGTGTTGGTAGCATAGACTGTAAATATTACTGGACGAACCCTGACCCGTCTGTGACATAGGCAGAAAATGAGTCCAATCGACGGCCGCATCCATATTGGATTTGCAGTCTCAACCTAACTTCGGATCAACCTAGCAACAGCAGTAAGGCGGGACCGGCGGGACTTAACTCCGCCCATCCAGCTCGACGTTAGCAGTCCACTTGACAGCATAACTAACGGCTAGGCTGCTATCATCAACTATTCCTGCTCGTCGTATAAACAGTAAGTTAACGTTTAACTTTTCTACAACACAGTTAAAACTAATTATATTCAACCAAATATTTAATTAAAGTCTTAAAACTACACTTTGTTAAATATACAACTATGGTTATTAGTTATTTGTCAGAGCAGTTAGACTTTGTCAGTGTTAGCAGAGAAATACATTAACAAAGTTTTATTCATAAACTGTAAATAAATATGAGACATCCAGAAGAAATCAATATTACAAAGCATACAGTTCATGTTACTGTTCTGACAAAAAGAGGAATGTCTGTGTTTTATATTTACTGATGTCAACAGCGATGAGGTGAACATGACAACTGAAAAATAATTATTTAGTATTTATTATAAGACATTTGTTTTCTATTGAACCTGTGAAGTCATGGAGTCTGTGGACAGTGTCAGCTTCACAACAAAAACTTTAAGTATTAGAAAAAATAGTGTTTAAGACTGGCATCTATTATGATGAGTTGCAGCTACCCTGTTCAATATTATTCCTGCAGATGTGGTTAATAACAAAAAAACAGCCTGAGCTGTCACATGTAGTTAACTGTACATTTTGTCTTGTCTGAGGCATTAATTGAACACCTTTGTATTTCTCCTATAGACACAGTGTGGATTATTGGTGACTGGTCCATCGAGGTGCCCAGAGAGCTGCAGAGACAGAGGAAGAAACCTGAGCTTCAACAACATCTGCATTTGTTGGTTCTTCTGGGGTGGACTTCAGTTGCTTCTCTTCAACAGCTCGCTGTGAGGGAGGTCTCCCCCGGATGGCCTGAGTGATGTCACCCACAGGCTGAGAGCTGAGGCTGAGGCGGGTTTTAAACCTCCTGACAAACCGTTACACCGCGCCCACCTGTCAATCAGGTCAGCTACACACCTTATTGTGAATAACTCTTATCCTTCATCAAATCAAAACTGATGAGTCATCAAAACATTCACCCCCCCCGTACAGTGTGTGTCCATCCAGACATGAGCTAATCACACCTATTTGTTTGTTTTGTACCAAGCTGTAAACATGTTCATCTCTGCTGTAAAAACAGACTTTTTTTAATGTTGTTTTTCAGATTAAATAAATATTTCTATATAAATGCACTCCTTTATGTCTACTTATGAGGATACATTTCAGATTTGAAATGACAAGACTAAAATGTGCATTAATGCTCAACTCAATAGCTTAGGGAAGGAAGTCTACTTTTACACAACTTCTTATTCTTTCGACATTTTTTTTACCAAATACTAATGTAGTTCATTTCTGAAAGTGGGATGGAACAGAGTCATTGCAAAAAATATGACCTTAAACACAGCCCCATTCTTAAATCAAGATACATGGAGAGTAAATAAGATCAATAACTTGTGAATAAAAACAGTTAAAAATGATTTAGAAATGTAGTCTTCCCTGATCAATATCACATAATATCAACTTCTCCCATCTAAACTGGACAAAGGGTTTTAAAATGGGAAGAAAATGCTTTGATTGCAAGTTGTTTGGAGGAGATCTAGTTTTATTTGAACAGCATGAATACAGTCTTCCAAGGTGCAAACCCTCCTCCTCCTCCTGAAGCCTGTGGAGCTCCTTCATGTACTGCTGTCTTATCTGCTGGCCATCTTCTCTCAGCAGAACTTCGACTGTTGAAAAGTCATTCTGAAGAAGCTCGAGCATGTGACATGGATCCAGGAGAACATGGACTTTTAGTGAGAGGTCTTCAGGATGACAAAGAAAGAGAGAAAATGTCAGTTATTCATTAAATCATTTTGTTTGTTCTCATCTATTTTTCTGTATTCATCTGTGTGTAAGAACACATTTATAAATTCAACAGTGTACTACCCAGACAACAAAGGTCCAGTATTCAGGTAATCAACATCTATTCAAAGTTAAGAAGATAAACATTATTGTAATCATGCTGTTTTCAGCTCTCTCACTCACACAATGATATTCCACATCAAATGATCTCAGATTTTGAGGAAAAATTGAGCAGTTTATTGTGGATAGTACTTCATCTTAACATGAAACAAATATAACCTGAATTATTTAAATCATTAACAGGTCCCAACTCTCTGTGCTTCAGTACAGAACATACAGTAACTCATTTATTATTAACATGAGCTCAGTACATGGCTGTATTCTTCAAACTATTTATTATACTTTATATCTATGTGCTTTATATCTTATTTTCATTCCATATGTTATTTATATTTTATATTTCTACAGCTATATTCTGTGTATGAGTTCAGTGAAAATTAATATGGTTATTAATATAGTTCTTAATGGTTACAGATGCTCTTACAAAGTGAAGTTTTTTAAATTTGTTAACAGTTTGCTCAAATCTTAAGACACTACATCAACCATGTAACTTTAATGTCATCCTCTATAACCTACACAGCACATTAGGTTCAGTTCAGTTTATGTTACTGACGGATAATTACTACACAAAGTTTGTTTTTTAATGTCCACATTTAGGTGGAGTATAACATTCATCATAACGTCAGATAACCATATTTACAGTCTGTGGTTAACCACCGAGGTGAACCTTTAGCTTCTAACATCACACAAACTCACTATTTTCAACAACAACATCTTAACAACAAACATTTCTAAACCATTGACCGTAAATAATGAGCTACACAGTTAGCCGACTGGTTTACAAGCTAACGCTAAACAAGCTAGGTCCGTAAATATAAATACCAACACGAGTAAGCAGTAAATATAACACTACTATATCACTTAGAACAAGAAACTTCACACACATGTTTTGAGGAGCTCTGAGACTTCTTTACACTGAAGAAGAGGAGGAGAATATGTGACCTTTAATGAAATAATATGCATTTTTATATCTCTACGTCAACGAGCGTGTTTAAAAGAGACTGAATAATCTGCAGAATAGTTTAACAGCTCTTGTTATGAACAGTTACTCTGCCCCAGGGTTAACAGCTGGCATACATGATTTGGTTAAGACGTATTTCTCAATTAAAAGATCACCATTAATGTCGGTGGCGTTCTATGAGGAAGCGTGTCATTGGGTTTGAAAAGAGACATGCATGTTGACTTTTCTAATTTAATTCTTCAGTGCAGGGATATGATTCAGGATGAAATACTTCTCATGACTCCTCCAGTCACATTGCTGAAGAGCGGTGTTAAGTTCAGCGGATGGTTGTGAACGATAGTTTCAGGCTTTTAATGAACTCCAAGAAAGAACTTTTACAGTGTGACCTACAAAATCTCTCTGTGTGTGTAATTCTCCTAACACTACTAACCCTCTTATTTTACTCCCAGCTTAAACCCACCAGTAGAGACAAGTTAGAGACGAGTTAACTTTACCTGAATCTAGAGCTTTGAAGAGAAGCACATCACTCATAGTAGTAGAAAATTAAATGTACAATAATAAAATGAAATCTGTTTTAGGGTTCAAATTTATACCTGGCCTGCTGAGGCTATCTGATTGGACTGTCCACCGGTCCGCTCAGGCCTGTTAAAATACCGCTTTAAGGGTGTTTTCACATCGTGCCTGACCCTGAATCAGATCGGTTTAATTTCTTCATGTCAAGAGTAAAAAGAGTAAATTCTTCTTTTCCTGGGTTACGAGTGTACTGTGTCTTGAGTCAGACTCGAGCATTTACTGCATTTGGACTCAGAAGATGGAGAGGAGGACTCTGATTTATAAAAACGTTTATGATTTATTACATTTTGAGAAAAGGACTTTACGTCAGAGTTACATTTTCTTCTTTAACTACAAAGTCACCCCCTGAATTTGAGTTACACATGACACTACGTTAGATAAAGTTAAGCTAAGCTAAGCTAACTTACTGTTAATAACTATTTTACTATAAATGAGACTCAATATTTTGAGTTTTTTCTGCTAATTTTCTGAATTTTTTGGTTTTGTAATTTCTTTTCTATTGTTTTTCTGTCTGTTTACTTCTACAAAGACTCAGGAGGAACAGTTGACACTGCAGCGATAACTAGATAGACATCCTAAATAAATAAAAACATACTTTCTGTTTGTTGTGTCTCTGCTCGCACATCTTCCTGTGAATAGGTCACGTCAGCCTCCCCTGGCTTTGCCTCTGAGGTTCAGTCTGCTCTTAAGGACAGTCCTCTTAAGTACACTGCAGTGATGCTGTAAAGACAAACAGTTTAAACGCTTCTTCACTTTGCAGCATTAACCTTATCGTTTTATAGTCGCTGTTGCAGGTTGTTTAAAGCACATGAGCCATTAGAGAATAATCACGGGGGATCGGACTCGATGGAGTGGGACGGGCTGCTTGAAGGGCCGGCAAAACAAATCACATTACACCTCAATTAACACCAGAGCGGCCTCTGGAGTCCGCTTTCATCCTCGCTAATAAAACTCTGTCTGTCTCACTAACAGACTGTTGGCCATGAAAATAATCTGCATACTGTACGTCTAATGAAAATGGAGAAGCCAGAGCAGACGTGGCGAAGCAGAGAGGAGGGACACATTTACTGTACGAGCGGCGCCGCAGCAGAGCTAGTTACAGTACAGAAAGCGTGTCGTCTCTCTCTGACCCCTCTCGTCTCGCTTGGTTAATTATGAAACGCTGCAGCTGGCTCAGAGGGCAGCGAGCTGATAAGTCCACCCTGCGGAGCACCCCGTGTCCCCATCACCAGACAAGGACAGTCCCACAGAGCAGCCACTGTACAGCTCAGGGCCAATTACCCACCTGCTGCATGACGGCAGCTCAGGGGTGTCACTTCATGCTAATGCCAGCCTCTATAATTACGGTTGTTTTCCCAGTTAGATGGTTATGGAAATGAGACATTAGCAGGTTTTAAAAGCGGCTCCAATGACACCGTATAACTGGTCGGCTTTGTTTGGATCGTTATGTTCAAGAGCATGAATCACTGAGTGGAGTCACTGCCAACTACAAGTATTAAACAGCTTTTTAAAAAAGGCACACACATTTTTAGGTCGCATATTAACCTAATTATGTGCTAAATTAGTTTTAATTATACCTGTTGAAACTTTGCCTTGCAGCCGTTTGAAAGCTGTGTTTTAAAAATAATTTATTGTGCAGCTTCTATGTGTTGTGTGTGTAAACACACACAGCATTAGTGGAGACCCTTCCTCTTTTCATTACCTCCTTTATTATCGCTGTCACAATCTGTTTTTCACACTGGTTAAGCAGCACCCTGGAATAACGTGTGTCCCGTTAATTTCACACCCGATTCCAGAGGCTGCATGCCTCCGTCTCGGCGCCGTCATTTCCCTCAGGACATCGCATGAAAGTGACTGAAAGTAGGGGACACATGAAGGTCAGAGAAATATATATATATATATATATATATATATATGTATATATATATATATATACACACACACACACACACACACACACACACACACACACACACACACACACACACATATATACACATATATATATAGATGCTGCAAGGCTTCGACCTGTATTCCATTATGACCATTATGACAGTCTGCGACCATGCTGTCATTATGGGAGTCATATTCTAAAAGAGAATCTCAGCTTGGTCTCTCAGGGTTGCTCTCTGAAATTGCCTTGCAAATTAAATGTACAGATGTTCAATAATTAAAGCATGAGGCGCTGTGTTTAGCAGCACGGTGTGATACCAATCTTATCGGGTACGAGAGGCGCGTCCAGAAAAGATGTTCGGAGTGGAAGTGCATCCTTTATCCGGCCGCCCTCGACTCCGGTGACTAATCACCCCCCACTCCGTGCTTTGCTCGCTTTTTGCCTCCAAACATATCAGTGAAGATGATAATGAGTGACAGCGACTTTTACGTCTCGCCCCAATTAGCGAGCCACCCTTGTTCCCCCTCAGCGTTTACTATAAGAGGAGGGTTGACACATGCCCGTCAGTCACTCGCCTCTCTTTTTATCTTTCCTCTGAATGCACACAACTCCCACCCCCGTCTTCCCTGCAGACACAGAGGCCTGTCGCCACCAGTGTCACAGCCAGCCGCCATCATTCTCAATGTCCTCTTTCACTTTAACGACGGCAGACTGAGACTCAGAGCACTGAAATCAAGAGAGTGCAAAACTCACCACATGCCAAAGTCAAATCAGCACTTCTGCTCCTTTACACTCTTCCTGTTCATGCGTTTGTTAACAAATGAATTGAAGTGTTCCTAATCATAAAGGATTCCAAACTCCTGAGGACGCACAGGAAATCTTCATGTTATTGGCATGAAAATAGGAACAAATATAAGGTCATACCAGCCAAGAATCAGAACTGAATAGTCAGCACTCGAAAGCTTCAACCTTTATCATCAATGTTACACAAGTCCTCATAGCTTTGTGCTACATGTAGCAGCAGCAAGATATGCGGCATGTAACATTTACGAGGAGTTAATTGAGGTAGGCTTCACTGTGAAATGAGAACAACACACTTATTAATGTTTGAGTTTAAATAGAAATGTTCCTAATAACTCTAACATGTGTCTCTAGTCTGTCTACAAACCTCTCCGTCTTCTGCCTGCTCCACTTTTCAGAAAATGTGTGCTCAAACAGGCCGTTTGGAGATTTTCCCTTCATGACATCACAAAGGGCAGTAGCCCCTCCCCCAGGTGGGTGACACTCCCACAGCTAGGTGTTTGTTCTGCCCTCTGAGTCTGCCTTCTCACCGTAAACAATAGGACATGTAGAGAGAAAGACCAAGTACACCCAAGCCCTTCCAGAGAGGGGGCGTGGTCAGACACAGCTAATTTACATATTTAAAGGTACAGATACAGAAACAGCCTGTTCTGAGGGGGTGGGCGGAGAGACTCAGGGCTGTGGGTCTGTACTTCACAACTATAAACGCTAACATAGGTTGAGAGCTCCACTACCGTAAAGGTAGCTAGCAGGATTACAAACTCCCCCTGGTGGAAACAGACGGTACTGAAAGAGACACACAGGTGCACACACTGACTGTTGTGGACGACACTTTACTTTGGCATAAGGGCCTCCACAGCGTTTTGGGCTTGGGCCCTTACTAAGTGCGTAGTCCATCCCACCGTGAAGGTTACATGAACAGACGCTCTGCAGGAATACATTCTCTCGTGCCTGAGCACACATCGGGGCATTAGTCGATAAAAAAGTGAGGTTTTAGCACTTCAGCTTTTAGCAGCAAATCAGAGGCTTTTAAAAAACATCACCTCATGGTGTGAATTTGTCCCCCAGTAGCTGTGATAAAAATCACTGTAAACCACCAAGGCATGATGTAATCACAGAGAGATGAATGCTGCACTGAAAACACTTTGAACTGATTTACATTTGTAGAATTATCACAATCTGCTCTTTTGTTTTTTAAGGATATGCCAGACATTTTAGAAATACTGAGTTAAAAGCATCCATTTGTTTTATTGATCCGTCTTTCATTGGGTGAAAGTGAACCATTAACTTCCTTCTTTGCTCAGGGAGTTTCCTCTATCGACCGGTTCAACTCCAGGGCTCCTCCAAAGAGAGGGAAACTGAGCAGGAAGCCGGCTGCAGACACTGGCGAGTCCACACATGAGAAGAACAACAAAAAATCACACTTTAGTCTTTAATTTCATGCCTGTTTTCAGCCAATGACAACGTTTATTTTAACCAAAGCAGATTTTCTAATGGACCTATTCTGTTCCTATACATATTCATATTGTGTGCATAGAAATTGTAGTTCCTTGAGTGTCCACTTGAGGATGGTTCCATTATCCAAGAACTCCCATTAACACCCACATGTAAATGGCAGCTTTGACAGCAGAATGAAACATGATTACAGCCCGGTACAAAAAACAGGTCGTGGTCTGTATCGCTAAACACATTGAGAAAAGTTTAAAGATTTGAAAAAAGGTCGACACAGGGCCTAAGGCACCCAAAATGCTGTTGTTGTGTAAACTAACAGCCGCAACTAAAAGTTACAGTTTTGGCTGAAACCATTGTCATGTAAACGTGGCCTTAGTTTGAGACTGCATTTCCAAAATGGCAATCACCATCATTGGGCTTCAAAATGCCTCCTCAGAAACCAAATGGTGACGTCACATGAGACAACATCCACTTTTTATATGGTGACTGATTCAGGTCCTCCCATCTCCACCTTCTTGAAACAAATTCATGCAGCGCCAGCCTCCTTTCTACAAATCCAAAATGAAGATTTAGAAATGATGCTGTAGATGACGGCAAAGGCGGAGCTGTAAGTCTGTGTCGTGTAAACTAAAAGCCACAGGGCAACTTAAGGTCACAGTTTTGGCTGAAACCATTCACAGGACATAAACGTGGCCTTAGTTTGAGATTGCATTTCCAAAATGGCGATCACCATCACTGGGCTTCAAAATGCCTCCTCACACAGCAATAGGTGACGTCACTGTTACCACGTCCATGTTTTTATATAGCGACTGATTAAGGTCCACAAAACTCCACCTGCTTGAAACACATTCATGCAGCCTCCTTTCTACAAATGTTACGATGACAACTCGACTACAAGCTTAAACTCCGGCTGTCGCTGTTGCACCCACGTTTAGGAAGAAAGGAGGCATGAGAGTGAAGCTGTCAGCACACAAACAGCAAACGACCTGCAGAGCAGAGACGACGAGTCCCAGCTCTGCAGGTCTCATAATGAAGCTGAGAAACATTCCTCTCCTGCAGAAGAAGCTGGAGGAAGAATAACAAACACTGAATGTGACTTTCAAATACAGAAGCTGTGATACTCCCATTCGAGTAGCGAGTTGTAAACGAGTGGAACAGCAGTGTGTGTAATGTGGATTGATACTCTCATAATATAACTGTGCTCCACTAAGCAGGCTATCAAACAGAAAAACCCCCCACAGCTGTCCGCCTCTCTCGGTCGTTTTTAATGTCTCTTTTATTTTTCATTCTGATGCAGATTTGATTGCACAGCAGAGCGGCTCAAAGCACGACTGGCTGCACTTGTCTGATGGACTGACCGGCGGTAAACATGGCTTTAAATGGTCGTACATAATTAAATATCCGTGTTTTCTCTGTCGTTGATTCATATTTTCCATATTTCACAAGGCCTCACTTATCTTCATGTTGGAATCATAACTTTGGTAGCACGTACGCACTCATATACTGGCTCGTCCTTTGAGGAATCACATCTCAGCTTCAAAAGCTCGGCATTGATTTAAGTGAAGGAGTTTAATTTAGTTTTGGACAACAACATTAAAAAAACAAATCAATATGTCAAACTGAAGACAATCAGCTCCTTTATCATCAGCTCCTCTCAGTCTGTAACAAAGCTCAAAGAAAGGTTTTACATCTCAGTCTGATCCAGAATGCTCAAACAATAAGAAAGCACACAGAGCTGAATGTTCTCGAGACATTCAAATGAAAGGTATGCCACTGCTGCTTCTGATCTATCGGCCTGCTCCATCAAAACCACATTGAACCGTTGATACTTAAAACAAACTGGAAACAAAGGAAGCATCTACATACTTACTGATCATGGACATGTTGGACGCTTTAAGACCTCCACTTCCTGTTTTCCCTTAACTTACCTTTTCTCGGGGTCATCTGTGAATTATTCAGTCTCCATGTTTGGCTGCTGTACTGTTCATGCAAACGAGTCATGGATGAAACTGTATGTTGTGCATGATACCTGCTTTTATAGAAAACTTGCTCAAGTAGATAGCATCAAAACCAGCCCTGCTAGAGCGAGTGTCAATCAACCTTTTCAGACTGCCTTTTTGACTCAGCCGCCATCACGTCTTTGTACATTTATATTGATTCAAAGGTGGCGTAATATTGCCGTCCCAGTCTGTGGAGTCACATTGTGTTGGCACTGTGGAAGCACTGCACAGCAGGAGCTCCACATACACACACAGTGCTGCGCTCCCCCAGTGGCTCTGCTGAAACTGTCACGCCTCTGTAACACCTTTGTTACTACCTCTGAAGACAGTACATGGGGGGGGGATTCATACCCCCATTACATTATCAGATTGAAGGCGAAACGTCACACAGGCGTAAATATCACGCCTAGAAATGTGGCCTGAATGGGGCTATTGTTTAGGAGTTTGCCTGGAACTTTTTTTCAAGATAAAAAGAAATTGCCCAATGTTGGGTTCTGATTGATCTTTACTGGTATCGTATCATACAAGTTTAAATTTCCAGTATCTATAGTATAGTATAGTAGACCTTTGCACTTCATACACACCTTATATACTTTATAAATGATTAATATTTGAGGCCTGTCTGTTACCAAAGTCTTGCTGGTTGTCTGTGTTTCAGAGAGAGCAAAGTGAAACATCCTCCACACATCCTCATTTGTATCCTCTCC